CTACTGTGAATGGTCTGGTTGCTATGTTTATTTTATTGTTTTTTAAGGAACCAGGCATTGTTTCTACTGTGAATGGCCTGGCTACTCTAGTTAACTCTGAGGGTTTTTGCCTGATTGAAAGGGTTTAAATTCTTATTTTATTCTGAGGGAGGATTTTTTTGTCTAAGGCTAAGCATTGTTTCCATTGTGAATGGCTTAGCCTGAAAACCACGCACATAATTTAAACTAAGTATAAAGGAAAGTATTTTATGTATATTTGCATGTGAACTGACAACTGGGCATTGTTTCTACTGTGAATGGTCCAGCGTTAAGCCATATCATTAACAAGAGAAAAAGRAAAATACAAAGTATAAATGAAAATAGTTTGGGCAAGCTGAACATTGTTTCTACTGTGAATGGTTCAGTCCCCTGCCCATATTTGCTTTTTCTTTTGAAAACAAAGTCAGAGAAATACTAAATCTTGGGATATTAAACAGCTCAGGGCGGCTAGGCATTGTTTCCATGGYGAATGRCCTAGTCATCTSCCCAAAAGAAAAAAGAAGTAGTTGTGCAACYTGTTCGTGTATATCATAAAGACAAGTTGSRCATTGTTTCCATGGCGAATGRTCCARCTCTAYGTCTTATGTAAGATGGGTATAAAGATTCAAGAACTTGAAGATTCACGAACTATTTATATGGAATGAACTTATGAGGGTGAGARTACTTAMATTCGTGGTTTGGTTTGCATGTGACAGGATGGGATGACTAGTTAGTTTGGGTTTCGTTACTATAGGTAGTTGCTGTAGCTGCTCGCCACGTGCTAGAKCCATWGGAGTTAGTGTCGATTCCTGCATTTTCTGTAATAACGTTTTTTTTACTTAGGTCAATTCCTGCATTTTCTGAGATCTTTTCTTATACTTGGCTTTGTATAAATCTTGGCGAGCTACTTTTCCTACGGGAAGCGCTGCCGAAATTTCTACAAATCCTAGAAGTAAGTCAACTTTTAACTTGTCAGAGTTCAACTTGTCTTTTCCATACATGGATTAGTATAAATATGGAAAGTCTCATTTTATAGAGGGACTGCTGCCCAAATTTTTACTAATTCAGGGAGTTAGACAAAATTGGATTTTGAAAAGTCAAAGTTATTCTCAAATTCTGAACCTCGCTTTGTATAAAATTTTGGAATAA